CTCCTCCCTCTTCATCCTACCTTTCTCTTTCTCTTCCTCTTTCTCTGCTTTCTCTTTCTCCTTGTCTTTCTCTTTCTCTTTTGCTTTCTTTGGACAAGGAGGAGAACGAGAGCGAGCAAGCATAAACACAAAATGCTAATATTGCAAGGCCACTCGGGCAGCATATCTTGCACCACAGGCCTTGGAAGACGACCTCGGGACAAAACTGCAGGAATTAATCATGTAATCATTGAATTTCACATCCATCACAAATGATGAAGTTGGGCAATGGGCTGGGTTTAAATTGTCATTGCTGAGGCAACCCTTCACAGGATGCGTCGATATGGAACATGGTTCTACACGGCCGCCAACACTCCTACGAGCGCATGAGGGAGCTGTCCAACTATGTCCTTGGCGTGGGTTTGAACCACATCTATTCATGTCAGAGGGACTATTAAAAAGCCGCTGGTAATCAGTGTGCCATGTTTCTTGGAGCCCATCATACGGCCAACAAAAAAGACTGATGGACAGTAACCTTTTGCGCGTAAGTGAGGCTTTTAAAGTGACATGTAATTGTTCAATTACTTTCGTTCACGTCTGTTTGGTTTTGCGCGCGCGGCTAAGCAAAGGCCGGATCCCAGGGAACCTGCAAGATGATCCGTACCACATCGAAGCGGGGCACTGCTGTGAAGGATCCCCGGAGCTCTTGCAACAAGTGGCGAACAGCCTGATGTGACCTGGTTATTGCTTTACTATTTGAATGTTTATCTACAATGATGCATGGTCGCCTAACACCGAAGGCATCCGGTCTTGCTGCCTCCTGGTCCTTCCCCCCTCAGCCCACCCTGCAGACAAGCGCTTTTCGTGTTCAGTCTTGTGATTTGCGACTTCCATTCAATAGCAACTGCTCATCCAACCAACTGCAAGTTTGCAATGTCGCTAAGTGAATGTATGATCCATTTTGCATCGTTTCGACGAGTTTTCGCAAAAAATGCAGCGCTCCCCAGTGGCCTGCGGGGCAAAAACTTGGCAAGGGGCCTGTTGCCGTGACAAGACAAGACAACCTCCAAAAGGGCACCTGCGGACAGCATGGCCCAGCATGGCACTGCGCGACACACTGTTGCCCCAAATTCGCGCCGGAAAAGTCCCCAACGGGTCTCCTGGAACCCATAGATGTATTTTTATAGAAAACAGAACCATTTAGAGTCAAGTTAGAGTCTTGGCTACACAACTGGTTCTTGCTCTTCTTCCTCCTTGCGCAGCCGGGGTCAGCGGATCAGCCACATTGCAGGAGCCTTTCATTCTGAAGTAGTGACATGGTTGACGCAAACCATAGCCCACTGCACTTCACTGGGATCGCTGCCTTGCGCACATACTCCCCAAACTCAAGCTCCAGTATCCTTTTCTCACGAGGATGCTTGGACTGTCTCTGCTTTGTTTTGAGGCCCGTGCAAAGGGTCGCCGCCCGGCAAGGGGTTGGGGAGCCAAAAATCAAGGTGATGGCTTCGCAGGGGTTGGGGCGGCATTCATTATCCTTCATCGTGGGACATTGTAGACCCCCCAACCAATCCCCAATCGAATCATCTTGTGTCCAAGTTATTTTCCACAATCATTATTTTGGGTCCTGGTGTCTTGATGTGAGAAATCAGCCGGCAGTGTAGATATCGTGATGTGCCTGAGGAAACATATTCTTGATTGTGTTTCGTGTGTTTTCGTTCTGGGACATCATTGGTTTGAATAGTAGGCAGTAGACATGTGTGTAATTATACCGGAAAGTTGAATTCTTTTGCATTACACAACTACTAGATGCAGGGCATGTCAAATAGACACGTCATTGTGACAATAGGCATTTTTTGTGGATGAAACGTGTTGCCATTTCAGATGATCTCGCCCAGGCCAGGACCATACTAGCTGAGCCGAGAGCGGCAATGATCCGTGTAAAGCCGAGCCAAAAGAGAAAGCCTAGAAAGGGTGCTTTGCCAAATCAGACGACCCTAACTTTTCAACAAGAGAACACATTGGATTAAACAAGAAACCAATGGTATATATAATGTAGTAACTTGTCAACGACCGGATCTCGCACATATCTCGATTGACAGCGCTCCTTATGGTTGCCGTTTCTGACTGAGATCAAGGTGGCCACAAGCCAGAGGGGAGAACATGCGAGAGACAGCTTTTCCCATGAGCAACCACAACAGTTTTAATGCAACACTTCCAAAGTTTCCACACAGATCAGCTAGGCAGAATTGCAAACCTAGCCAGCCAACGAATGACAACGACAGACAAACGACACTTGCAAGTATACCTTGTAAGCACCTTTTTGCCGACGCCAAGCAGGCACTCGGTTTGGTGAGACTGTGCAACAGCTACAAAGGAGTCCAGTGCAAATGATAGAGTTTCAAGTCTCGGGCAAAAGGTGTTGTTCGAGAGAGAACCAAAGGCAACCCGCAAAACGCTATTGATATGAACAGTAGATGAAAATGCATTGCTCAGACATTCCCTCCAAGCCAGCAAGTGACCTTAGTGCCCTTCCGGCCCAGGAAGCATGCCAGCTGGTGAGCAGTCTCAGTGAGAGGTCGACACTAGCAGTGGGCAGTTCCTGGCAGTTCCTCACCAAGACACAGGACGCAAGTCGTGCGCTGCCAGTCGTGCTGCTCTCAGGTCAAGGCCGCAATGAGGAGGACTGGGGATGTCATGTTTGGAGACGGTGTCTGCTTGCCAATAAGCTGCTTCGGCCATTCTGAAGGTGAAATCGGAATGATGCATTTGGTTTGATGTAGTACTGTAGTACTTGTAGGTCTTTTTGGACTTGGTTCTTGACTGTTCTGAATCCAGCCCAAGTCAGGAACTCAAAAGCCTCGTTGTCCGGACTCTGGAGACCAATGGCCACTTGCCCTGTGAAAAGCAGTTTTCCGGCACCCAACATGGACGTTCCGAGGAACGTCCCAGTGCTACTGTATTCAATTCTACTATAGAAGGATTCCGTCATCCTGCACGGACATTTTTAAATAACTTCAAAAGAAAGCAAAAGTATGTTGGGTGGTGCGAGATGAACTTATCCGTCATTCTATCTCTTTTTGTAGATGACTCGAGCGATTTCAAGGTGGTTTTGGGGGAATCAGTGCAAACTTCATCCAACTTCAACCTCTGATGAATCGTTTCTGAGTGCTGTTTTGCCGCCTCACTCATCTCTTAAGAAAGATCGGCCATTTTGCGATCTTGCAGGCGTCCTTGGACAAATTCGGGCGGAGCTTCGAGCAAATGTCTACAAGGCTACAGCATTTTTCTTCGTCTCCGGGCTTGGAGGAGTGGCTATCTCTTCGCACAGCTGGACTTCCCAAATCCGCTTTAGCCGAGGACACCCAGGAGTTTTTTGTGGGAATTTTGTCGATAAACCAAGGCAGCTCCACTTGTGAATGACATGAAGCATTGTCTCCGGGCTCTTGCGAAAGGTGGTTTTTAAAGCCAAATCTCCTCGATAGCGGTGCAGTGGTGGAGTGTAGAATTGTCTTTCTTCATCTACGAAAAGTGGTGGATTCGATGCGGTGGATTCGCTCAAACCTTTTGGAACAGCTCAAAAAAACAGACATGGTTTCTCCATGTTTCTCACCCTTACTGGTAGAGTGAACACTGGGAAAGCAAGGGGTCTCTGCTCAGAGGCCATGTGCTTGCGGAAGATAGGGTTGACATGACACAATTCACGGGAGGAAGGAAGAACTATGTCCTAAAAGAACTGCCTCCAGACTCCTGAGATAACTCTTTTAATACTCTTTTCATGGTGCATGGTTGGGTCTCTCCTACAAATCCAAAGCGGCCTTTCATTCTTACCAGTGTGTTGGAAGTCCTGTGCTGGTCTCAAGTGCAGCAAGGGGGACATCTTCTAGGTGGGTTCAGATGTTCTTGCGCTTTCCCATAATCCGGTTCGATTGTGCAGAATAACATGATCCACTCCGAAAGGTCTCTCCGTTTGGTGGGCGAGCCGAGCCGCTTGGCCTGCCCGTGCGTAGGCCATCGACTGCGACGAAGATTTCGGAGCTTCGACGGCGGTGCGCTCTGCGGCTCGGCAAAAGGGGTAGATTGATTTGGGTCTTATGTGAAGAATTTTGAAGATCAGAAGATCTTCCTGAAAACATCTTTAAACACTTTAAGAGGGCTTCGGTTTGCCGGAAGAAGTGGGAAACTCCACTTTATTTGTGCTGCCTCAAGTGAATTTCCCCAAGCTTTCGTTCAACCACCATAGCTTTTCGACAGCCCTGAGTGGCTACCCAGATTTGTGTGGGAGTTTCTGTGCATGGCTTGAAAGTGCTGGTTGCTAGTCGCTGATTACATGACAGACCATTAACATCTAAGCTGAACATGGAGTGACTTGGAACGAAGCCTAAACGAATCCCCGAACGAAGCTGAAACAGGAAAGGACCTAAATGCCCCGGACAAGAGATAGCAATCGATTGCGGCACTCTTGAATGATGATGTGGTGCTGCGCATAACATTTAACATTTGGCAGTAATCCAACTCAGCTTGTGAAGACACAGGACATAGTACCGTGCCACTCCCTGGAAACGAAACCATAGTAGACAAGATTGCATTTGGATATTCATTTTGAAGATTGCTCAGATCTTATTGCCGGATGCCTGCCTCTGTGGATTGAGGCCAAGTTGACAAAGTCACCAGTGGGTCAGTTGATGGCTGAGATCGTCCGAATCTCACCGTTTTTTTGTTGTTTTATTTGAGTTGACAAATTTTCCATGTTCTAGATTCCAAATGCCATACTACTTGAATATACGACTTGAATTCTGCATAATTCTGCCTTTTTTTTTGTTCGACCAGTTTCTAACCCTTCGCCCATATCAATCTGAGAAGCGTCCACATCCGAACGGGCTACGAGCCGGCTGGCCGGAACCAAGGTGGCCGAGTTTTTTGAGTTCTACCAGTTCAGGCAGAGACCTTTCGGCTATTTGAGGAACAGTAACGTGCGTGATCGAAAAAGAAATTGATGCTTTGGTGACATGAACTTCAACCAAGCTCGTTGTTGGATCTCTGTAGGATTCTGTAAGCAATGTCCTCGAGGACGTAGAATCACCGCAGCATTCACCCTCAGACTCAGATCGTGAACTGACGGAGGGGCTAAGAAGTGACTCCAAGACCTGAGAATCCGGTGGGCAGATGTGATAAGTGTATCCAGTCGAACCGCGCTTCGCGCCGCGCTTCGACCGGTGCGCCCAGGGTGTTCCAGGAGGGTCATGGACTCGCCAAACCGGGCTGCCAGGCACAGTCTTTCGGTCTTTCTCCCAGAGTCGAACCTTGGAAAGGAGCGCCGCAGCCGTGCCGAGGCGCAAGGGCTCGGCAGGGAAAAGGCCACTGACTACCTTGGGAAGAGACCATGCCTAGAATCAAAGCCTTTGAAGATCATATTTGGATCGAACAAAACATGACAAAACCTATGGTTTGAGATGTTTGAGTCGCCCCCTTCCACATTCAATCGACAATTCGATCAATTTGCACGTAAACAGGAAGGGGGGCTGACCTTGACCATCTCCAGTTTTTGTCCGTTTTCTCACGATGAACCTAGAACAAAGCTGTGCGCAAGCCCCATGGCCCATGGCTGCTCATGCCTCTTGCGAGGTTGCCGTGGATGCTGGATTGATCCGGGTTCATTCAGAGACCTCCATCTTGGAGCAGCTCATGAGCCTCACGTCCAGCAGCTCACACAAGATGAGTCCCTTGGCAAAGGAGAAGTTTGTGATGAGTGCCGCACAGATTGTTCTTTTTACTCCAAGCAACATGTCATGTGCCAGAGCACCGGCTCCCAAGGTGGAGAGGGGTGGCATTCCAGTGCCAGCTCAACGACGGCCAGCCCCTTCTTTGGTGATGTTACTTGTTCACTGAAGCGAGACTGCCATTTGAGATGCTCAATTAGATCATTTGAAATCATTTGCATTCATTTGCACAGCAGTATTGAAGCAGAGCGTGGTAGCACTGAGTCCATGATTGCTTTAAAGTCGAGTCCGTACAATCTCTTTTTTGGGTTGTGGTGGCACCGAAATGATATGAGTCGTTTTCAAACTTACCGTCATTGCTTTACACAAGGGTGTTTTGAAGTTTTCCTTGTAAAGCGATACGGGATGTCGCAATAGGACAACCCTGGTATATACTCGGATGCTGATGTGCCAACACTGCAAAACCCTTGAAAATGAGACTTAGCGCCTACAGGGTCCATGTGCAAGACACTGGAGAACGATATGGGGACGTCTTAACTTTGAATAAATAGACCACGAATCATTCAGAAAACAACTCATGAATTTGGTGCAACTTGGTGCCGTAGTCAGCGCACATCACGCTGGCGCACAAATCTCCGCTCCAACTCTTGTGAAGCGCAGGCATCCTCGCCCCCACCACAGTTTGCCGCATCCATGGTCTGAATCCCAGCTCGTTTTGGTCCAGCCTGTCTGATTGGAGGCTGACACGTTTCTACTTAATATAGATTTAGGTATACACCTCACACATGACTGTCAAGAAGGAACAAAAGAACCCGCATGAAAGACAGTCAATTTCTGTGTATTAGCTTGATGTGACATGGTGAAGCTTACCAAGCCAGTTTGGTTGCTCCCCCAAAATGCAATCCTCATGGGGAACAATTCATTGTGAGATATTAACCCATATGGCCAATCCGCTTCCCATTCATTTGCTTGTCGCTGTCGCACGTGAGGCATCTACACGTCATTCAGCCTGGGAGAGCGGAGGAAATGATACGCCGCCAGCAGGAGCTTGTCTCAGTCCAGGTAGCAATTTGGTTTCAGATCGTGGCTTGCGGCCATTGGGCATCAGATGTTGCGGACTTGTTGCGAGTTACGGGAGTTGGCTGCGGCCAAGGGGGAGGGCTGTTTGCTTTGACTTTGACTTTTGCAATCTCGTCAAAGTTTGGCTTGAAGCTGGATTGCACATGATTCATGTAATTAGATGCATTTCCCCAGCGAAATCAAGTAGGATGACAGGAAGCAGCAGCGCAGGCCACTCCAAGCAAGATATTCACAGCACCGTTTTACTTGATACAATGGTGGAAATAGATGGAAATAGCTAAGTTTCCCTAAGAATCTAGGAACCAAATCATTAGTGCGAGCGCTTCTTCAAGGAAGCTCCCTCCCGCCGCCTTTAGAGCGGTGGGGGAAGCTTCCTGGAAGAAGCGTGAGCTATCCTGCGTCCATACTAGTAGCTACTGATGCTACTAGCTACCTCTCCCTATACCTCGTTCCTTTGCGGCCTACCCCCTGGGGTGTAAAAAAAACTATATATATATACATTTAGTAATTATTAGATAAGAGGAGGAGGCTTGAAAAACTCCCCTCAACCAACATGGAAACCAAGTCTGTGCACCAGATGGTGATGGAGTTGCAACGTTTAAGGCAGAGGACCTTTAGATCTGAGAACCGATTATTGTTCAAGTTGTGGCGCGAGATGTCGGACCAGCGGGAGGAGTTACGAAAGAGTGAGGTCCAAAAGAAGCAAAATGCAGAGATGATGGCAGAGCTTCAGAAAGAATTGGACCAATTGGAGCAAAGTGAATGCGCATTAGCTGACTTGGAAGGGAAGATGAAACGCCGGCCTGTTGCGGAAGGCTCAGCCCAAGACCCAGATTTGGCAGTCCCTTGCTTACGAGTTGCTCGAAAGGCTTTGCATGGTGATGAGGGCCTAGGCTACATCAGCGTGCCCGAAGGAATGGTTCTCGTGATCACCACCACCGAGTATGAGGGCCAAACGCTCTGGTATTTCGGATACTCCATGAACGAGCCAACAGCATCTGGCTGGATGAAAGCTTCAGACACCAGAGCCTTCCAAAGAGAAGAATTTGGATAACAGGAAAGAAAAGGTGAGTGTGGTTCGAGAGCCGCTGGACCTCAGAGTTAAAGCATAATCCGTTCTTGTGAATCACATCACCTGAGGACAGATGCGACATCAAGGCCCGAGCTTGGCTGGGTGATGCTGGGTATATGGGTACGAGAATCTCTGTGATGAAAAACCGGAGCAACTTAAACTCAAAGGATTCTTTTCTTGGATTGTCAGCTCCAACCTTTTTCACACACAATGGATGACCCTCTCAGTATCCTCTCAATATACTGATGTACTCGTACGGAAGAGATACTCATGAACTTGTAGTCGAATTGGGATGGACCGTTGCAAGAGCTGAGCTGCCACACATGCCATTATGTAGAAAGTCTTATAGTGGCATATTGTGGCTTTCTTTCTGACTATATGACTATATACATCAATTCTTATCCCTTGTTCTCAGAACCTTGACATGAACATGACATGTCTGTTTCATTGTCTCATGATGCCATAATTTTTGAACCTCTAGATTGTGGAACATTGTAGTATCAATCTCAAGATGCCAGAGTGCCGTTGAAGCTTTTCGTTTGAATCTCCAAGCAGGTGATCGCACTCGGGACTTGGTCGGAGGGGTCGGGGGTCCCGAGCTTTCCGGGAACAGGGGAGGTGCGGAGAACCTGGGTGTGGACAGGTTGAAATTGGATTGGGAGGCTTTATATAGATTGTGCTTGTTCGGAATAGCTCATGAATCCTTCTTGGTGGGAACAAATCAATACATCCAGCTCTTGACTGTGTGATTAGTGTCATGAGCAGTTTGCCGGTTGTTTGAGCTGTACCATGCAAGCGGGGCATCAGGACTTGTAGCATTCCTACCAACAGAACTTGTCAGGCGGTTTTAAAGACAGCGCAGGCGTTGCCCAGCTTTGCCAACAGTGGACTCCATCCTTTGCCCACAGATGATTTATGACTCAGGCAACAGTGCTGGATGCTTTGAGTTCAGCTGTTGGGCACGACGTGCGGCACGACGTGCGGCACGACGTGCACAAAGGACGGGCGGCTTCCGCAGCACACGGGGTCCGTTCACCCGATGCTTTTGGGTCCTTTGTCACCGTGATGTAAATCTGATGTGAAGAGAAGGAAGAGCCAGAAAGTTAACCGACATCAATCAAGAACGCAATATGGGGGCTGAAAAACCACATCAATCGGCCCAGGAACACGCACTGCAGATGAAAGAAAAGAGGAGGCGCAATAGCCAAGCCGCTGCCATTGCCCATGCCGATTCATGGTTAGATTCTATAAGGTGTGTTCCACCTCTCTATGCTTTAAACCAATAGTTCTACCTGGTTTTGCTCAAGGTGAATTTCTATTTTCCCTATGGGCGAATTCCCTTCTGTTTCTTTTTTCTAGGTTCCGTACGCAAATTCAAGTCTGAGCACGCCCCGGAGTGCACCAAATTGTCCTGGGTCCTAGATTTCACATCCGATCTGCCTAGCATGGCCGAACCGTGTGGCCTTCGTTTGTCCTCAGTAGGCACCCGAGGCGGCACCGCGCATGATTCGAAGAATGCACTCATTACTGTAAGCTATATACTTGCTACTAGTAGCAATGCACTTGTTACTAGCTTCGAAGATCTTGGTTGGACGAAAAGATGGAACGTTGGCTTGGTGGAGGGTGACATGGCTCAACTCAAGTCATCTCAGATTATTGTTCAGATGAAAATGGCCCTGTAGCAGCTGTGAGGTAAGCCTATGGGTGATGCTAGAAGACACGAATAAGTTTGCATAGGAGGACCCTTTCACAATTCCACTTACTGGGTCCCACTCACCCTCAGCACTGCTGCCATAATGACATCGCAACTATAGGTTTTGGTTTGCTCACACCCATCCGATCCCTGTAGGGCACTGTACGGTGTGCTTTTGGAATGGAAGCAATTTGCTTCAATGTCTGGCATCAATCATCGTGATTCTTGGAGATTTTTGTGCTCAGAGATTCGGCATTTTTTGTAGATTCGAAACAAGACGATTTACAGTACATCGATTTACTGTGGCAAGAAGCTACTAGTAGCTCCTGGCATTACTACTAGTAGCAAGAAGCTACTAGTAACATGTAACCACCAAGTAGCATTGAGGCTCAGGAAGTCGAACCAGAGCAAGATTGCGAAATAAAGATCAGAAAGCTCCGCTGGATGGCAGGCTCCGCCGAAAGAGGAGGAGGTCATTGAGGAGGCCATCTATGTTTTCTTCAATCACTATATAGAAGATACGATGTTCACATAGTGGAAGACTGAGCAGTCTCAGACCAATTATTTGGGGACATACAACCTAGTCCAGTATGGATACTCCTAGAATCGGACTAAAAACACAACTACTAGCATATCCCCTGTTATGGTGGGTCAAACATCATTATATATTAACTACTGCAATCCATTCATGGAGAGGTCAAAGAGCGGCGTGGCAAGCCCGCCCCGCGCACCAAGCTGCCATCGCTGGGTACCTCACTCAACGGTGGCAAGGACAGAGGTGTAGGGAGCTTTCGGTCTTTTTTTGCAAATCCATCCACTGTGTTTCTTTTGTTTTGGATCGAGGTGGATTACCCCTGAAGAACCCCATGATACCTCTTATTTGGAACCATTTCTTATGAATGCACGAGTTTGCGAGATTTTGTGGGAGGTGCCATGAGGGGACGGACATCGCCTCTCATCTCCCGTCCACGGATTTCTTGGGATGACTTCGTTGTGTGACTTCGGCCCGTTGACTGGTGAACGCTTGAACGTTCGACCAGTGACGCCACGGTCAAAATCGATGGGGCACTCCGAAAGGAAGACGACACAGGAGAGACGCTTGAATATGTCGGCCTAAAGGCTCTCTAAGGTTGATCATTCTTTAATTCAACCAGGGGAATTGAGACAGGGTCGGGCCTTTTTTTCTTGGGTTCTCGGAGCAATATCCAGACCAGAGCCAGTCAAGCTCAGAACACAAAGGAAACACAGCGTGGAATTTAGGACGGTGAATCTGTGGATGCCAGATCCTGGCCGTTTGCAAATCTCTGACTGTGCACTGCAGCATTTTGGACTGTTCCTCTTTAACAAGAAGAAACAGTCCAATGCAATCTCCTTGCAGGGGTCGGGAGAGAAGGTCTGTGGGAGATGTGTGTTTTAGTGATAGTACTTTTAAATGTAATTCACTGATCCATCTGATCCCCACTCCTCTTGTTCTCTTCAAACTGGCCTGGACTGCAGGAATTGCTGCCTCCGCTTCGCGGCGTGGGGTCTGCCACTCATACTTTGTCTGACTGGCAGATTGCTGGCGATGTCAGTCTCCCTAGATCAGCCAAACACATGATTATACAATACTGATAGGGATTTCAGTATGATTTTGTCGTCTGAAAGTCTACCGGCTAATTTAACAGGGACCATTTTCGAGTTCTGTCGTCCGTTTGACCTCAAACCTCTTCGAGGCTAGCAAGTAGCTTGGGCTCCCGCGGCGCGGTGTCTGGAATTCATACTCCTGAGGAGGAGGTGAACGCAGTTTGCGAGTTAAATGGTTTCCATGATGGTGGCATCGCTACTAGGAGCAAGGACGCTACTAGTATCTCCTGGCATTACTACTAGGAATCTAAGACTCTACATCTACTCCCTGGCTTTCAGTCTTCAGCAGGTGTCGCTGGGTGAGCAATCTGGAGGAGCCTCCGAATCCGGAGGAGCCTCCAGCGATCTGTTGGACGAGGCCTTTCGCTGTGAAGGAGCCGGACCTACCTTGGAAGACTAAGGTGGAACCTTGTGCAACCCATCGCCACCACCGGTAAGAGCTCTTGTTATTTCAATTGGGAGACCTCAACCGTTGGGTTTTGGTCTATTTCCCGTCTTCCAGTCTTTGAGAGGTCTCCCTATTTTCATACACACCCATTATAGGGAGTGTTTTGGGTCAGAGAACCACCATTATTCCGTTGAACTCTTGTTCATTGCTCCTCTAGTTCACAGCTTTCACACAAATCGGAGCAGTGGCTGCCATTCTGCTCTTTGCGCTGCTCTTTTTCCTCCCAGACTTTTTTCGGCTCGGCCACGCGAGGTGGATCGGCAACTTGCCATACTGAATCGGCCTGGGAACAGAGTAGGCTCCTGCGGTTTTGCATTTTTGAAGTTGCTGGAGCTGAGTTGAGAAGGCAGAAGACACGATGGATTTGATTGGGCCAAGATGGGAAACTCATTGAAACGGTGCGCTTCGGACTCAAGCGGAGATTCTTTTTGTGCCCACAAAACAAATCCACTACAGATTACTTGAGCATCTTTTCCATTAGTTCAGGTCTCAAACTCATAGGTGACTTGGAAGTCTTGTTTTGAGACGAATCCTTTCCAATCGAATCGGCCTCAGCAGGCCTCACGCCTGAAGCGGTGAGCAGAGAGGGGGATGGCCTTGAGGTGGGCCCCTCGACGGGGTGGAGCGGGGACCGAAACAGATGACTCATGATGACGGCAGCACAAACAATTGCTTGTTCAAGACTTCACTGTTGAACTGTGAACGAGGTCCCAGGTGGGGCTTCTTTTGGATCACTATCTCGCTTGAAGTGTGATGCCTGTGATGTTACATTGGAAGGCCTCTGCCTCTGCAAGTGCTGGGGTCCGTGCCTCAAGGGAAGGCCTGCAAACAACTCAAGGAGCCAAAGAGATTGTGCAAAGTCTGGGACCTGGGAAGTGCTTTTCGTAAGGAAACCTCAAATAGTTGCTTTTCGTTTGTTGCTGCTCACATCTCCCCTGTGTCACGCACGCTAAGGCGGATCATTGAGAATCCAAGGCTCCGAGGCGAGGGCGCTCGCTCGGTCTCCGCACATCGCCCACGCTCGGGACAGCCGGCGCCTTCGGGATCGCTATTGGGTTGGAGGCCAAGCCGCTAGTAGGGCGGACTGTTTCCTTGCTTAGGTCGCGCACGCTTCGGGCATTCAATTTTTTTTAGTTCTCAGCAGCCCTGAAGGTCCCATGCGTTTTCTTTGGCATTAATGCGATCGTCGGATTAATCAACGGGCCCCCCCCCCAGAAGGTCAACAAGGTCAACAAGGTCTGAGATTGGAGGTTTTGGAGATCACATCCCCCTAATAGTGGGGATGACCTGATGATGAAAGGGAATTTGATTTGGAAGAATTGGAATGAAAGGGAATTAGTATTTGGAAGAATTGAGATGAAAGGGAATTTGCATTTGGAAGAATTGGAATGAAAGGGAATTAGTATTTGGAAGAATTGGAATGAAAGGGAATTAGTACTTGGAAGAATTGGAATGAAAGGGAATTAGTATTTGGAAGGGTTGGGATGAAAGGGAATTAGTATTTGGAAGAATTGGAGCCCAAATACTAATTCCCTTTCATCATGAGGTCCATGAGAGCTCATCATGGATGGGGTTGACTAATGGGGGGGGGTACAGGGGGGTAGGGGGTGTATGGGGGGTACCCTTTCTGAGCTTCTCAAATTGCAGATTTTGATAGAGTTTTAATAAGGGAAAATGAAAGAATTTTCCTAGAGAGTTTTTGGACATTCTAGGAAAACTGTTGCTTTGGGAGAGCATTGGTAATCAATCAGAAGATCAGTTTCACCATGGCAAGACAAGAAAATATTGAAAAGGGAAAAATAACAAAACTAATTAAACACACATACATATTGGAATAATTATATTTTTCCTGGGGGGACAGGGGGTAGACTAATAGGGGGGGTTTCAGCCAAGCAAAATTTTTATTAGAGGGTGGTGACTGTGGAAATTAGTAGTTCAAATTAGTTTATTATTGGGGCCTGAACGCTGGGTAGACTAATAGGGGGGTTGGTTAATCCTATGATGGCATTATTTTTTTCCCCTGGGAGACGGACCCCATGAAAGCGAGACGGACGCGCACCCTCCAAGCGGTGTCGCCTCATGTCGCCACGTTTCGAAGGGGCTTGTTACAGGGTCCCTAACAATAGCGGAGTTCATCGTTGCTCATGTGGCCGTCACCTCGCATTCGTCTTTTCAGCGCGTTGGGAGCAACGAACTCCGAAGCAAAGCACCGACTCAACTTCAGTTCAAGCGTCGACGGAAGCGACGTGCTTTGTTGCAAAGGTCTTGGGTCTTGGGGCAAGTGTGCGAATTTGCGATGGGACATGCAGAAGTGTGGAGTGAGACCCCTTGATACTGTGTATCAAAATAGGCAGACCTTGCAAAGACACCCTGGAAGAAGGAAAATAGACTCGACCAAACCCCATTGGTTGGGATTGCTGGAACCACAAGTCATCAACCCAAACTGTGTAGATTGCAGATGGTTTTTGTTTTGTCTTGAGGCCCATGCAAAGGGTCGCCGCCCGGCAAGGTTTTGGAATAATTTGCGGCAAGGTTTTGGAAGGGGTTGGGGTGGATTTCATGATCTTCACAGACTCCTGAAGCAATTGAATCCAGTCGAATTTTTTCATCTGAGAGTCACTTTTACAAGAACTAGTTCGGGTGCTGATAAGCTGGCTGTGTAGATATCATGACTTGCCTGACGAGCATTGGTCAAACTTTGTGTTCTTTTTTTCAAGATGTTTGCACTATATTGTAAATGAATGTATATATATATACACATGACATTACACACACAGATGTTACACTCAACTAGAGACAAGCATGTGCTTGCAGGGCATGTCACATAGAAATGCCTTTAAGATGTTGGCCAGGCCTCTTTTTCGTTTTCAGGACTGGATGAAGCGTATTGCCCGTGGTCTTGCCTAGGCCAGGACCATACTGTATACTAGCTGAGCCGAGAGCGGCAATGATCCGTGTATAGCCAAGCCTCGAACATGTGTATGGTGACGGGCACCCACTCAGAATCGAACTGTTATTGTTCCCAGAATGAAACTTCCATCTCTTGGGCCATTGAAAAAACACTGAACTCAATGGCCAAGCGCTTTGAAGCTCAGAAAGACTTTACAGTGGGTGTCCGACACGTACTTGTAACAAGTTACTTGTATGTTTACCAGCCAGTACTTGGCCTGTGACACGTCTCCAACGGGGACCGAAAAATGGGGTCCGACCTCTGATCCGATTAGGTCCGACCAAGGTCGAGCCTGGTCTTCCACGATATGAAGTTGATGATAGTTGGGTACCGCAAACCCTCCTTCCACACACAAGGTACATGTCACCCCACTCGCTCTTGGATCAGTGTCTAAACGCTCGGGACTCACAAGGGTGCTCTTCCCAATCGAATTGCACCAACTTCTCAACACAATATTGCAATGAATAACACATAAGATCACACAAGCAAAAGTCCAATGGAATAGTAATCATTGTGAATTATTGGATTTCCACCTTCTCAACGACCGGAAACCGCACACATGTCTCAATCGACAGCGCGAGCGCTTGTGCTTGCTGTTTCTGAGATCAAGGTGGCCACAAGCCAGGGGGTAGGGTAGCACATGCGGGAGACAGCTTTTCCAATGTGAGCGGCCATAGCAATCTTTAACGCGGCTTCAAGCACTTGCACACAGATCAGCTCGGCTGAATTGCAAACCTAGCCAGCCAACGAATGACAAACCACACTTGCAAATACACCTTGCAAGAACCTTTTTTTTGGCCGACGGCAAGCAGGCACTAGGGTGGAGAATGGTTGTGTTTGAGAGGCAATCAATCTGCTGTTGATGGGAACAACATGTGTACAGTATATTTATAACTGTGAAGCCGGACCCGTCGGTGTCGAGCGGCGCCGTCGAAGGGCAGACCATGAGCCACGGGGCTCGAGTGCACAAAAGGGTGCGGTGCCACGTTTTAGTGGCAGCGGAGCGCGGTCGGTTCGGGGCGCGCGGCTTTGGGGTGGCACGTGGAGGTGGGGCGCCTGGCTACGTGCGGGACTTTTTGGTGTTGATTGGTGGGGTCACTCGAGCCTCGCGGCGGTGACGGAGATGACATCCTACTACTCCGTCTTCGAGGTCCACGTGCCTGTGGATGAGCCCAGTGGGATTTCGGAACGTGATTCAGAAGTGAATCCAGGGGATGGATCCTGGAGTGGAACCTCCGGGTTGGTCGGCGATCGAGCTGAAGGGCATGGCTATGAGGGGGATTGGGAGTGGGCTCCATCATCTCGCTCGTCATGGGCAGGGGGCAGCTGGCAGGACTATGGCTGGCGCGGCGACAACCAGGCCGAGAACTGGTCATGGACGGGGAGCTGGTCACGCTCGAGGTCGAATCGAGGCCAGTATGAGAACTGGGAGGGTTCTGAACCCTCGGGATGGGCTGGGGTTTTTCGAGATCCTGACCTACATAGCGATTCGGGACATTGCGATGGCCGTGGTGAACGACGAGATGATGGGCACGAGGGCCATGGCCTACATCGGGGAGATTCCGGTCAAGGAGTACGAGGGCAGGGATGCAGACTGGAGTCACCAGTCTCGCCGATGGCGGCAGGGTTCGATCGCCATGGCAACCCCCCATCAGGCGAGGTGTCCTCGGTTGGCGACATGCCGGAACCGAGGGGACCAGGAGATGAAGCGAAGATCACCTCGGCCTCGAAGGGGAAGATTAGCAGCTCGTATCCCCCCATTTTCAGAGCCAAGGTGGGCGAGAGCTACAGGGACTGGCGTCGTTCGCTGGAGTTCTGGTTGGGAGGCGAGGGGCACCAGATTCCGGAAGAGTTCATCGGGCCAAGAATTATGGTCCAGTTGAGGGACCATGCCGCCCAGCTCGTGAAGCACCTCAACAACAGCGACGTGAATAAGCCGGGTGGCATGCAGAAGATCTTCGAGGTCTTGGAGCGAAGCCCCTTGGTGAGGCAACTTGATAAACACCGAGTTGACCAACATCGAAAACGCTTGATGTCCTTGGCCCGCTACGCAGGAGAGTCCTTGGAAAGTTACATCACGCGTGGCAGCATTTACCGCACGCAGTTGTTGGGCCTGGATGCGACCCTCGAGATGGGAGAGAGGTTCTATGTTGGTCACTTGCTGGACCACGCCCGCCTCAGCAGGAGGGACAAGGTTTTGGTGCGAGCCCGAGCCGGGAATGAGTCCGAGGAAGCGATTACCAACGCCCTTGTGGAGCTTGCCGCGGAATTGGAAGGAGAACACGGATATCCAATAGGAGCATCCGAGCCAAACACTGCTGGCGCCAACGGAGATGAGTGGTTGGTACAACGTGGTGGACAAGGTGGCACCGCACCCGGACGACGTGGCGGCCGACCGGCGTTGGCTGCAGAGGTCATGAGTGAACGCCTGGAGGAGGACGTCGAGACCGTCACGCAGGAGGACGATGTTGGCGAGGAGAGCCTCGGGGAGGACATGCCGCCGGAGCTGAAGGAAGTGGAGCGGGAAGCCTACGCCCTCCATTACAAAGCGAAGCAGCGTATGGCAGAAGTCAAGAAGCTCCGACAATACTATCGGAAGGGAGACCAGGTTGAGGAGCGCAAGAAGGCCTTAGCCGAGAAAATCAAGAATACGGCATGCCACAACTGTGGCGAGGTGGGGCATTGGAGTCGAGAGTGTCCTCACCAGAAGGCTCAGCAGGTCTTGATGGCGGCACCCACTATGAGCAGGCGAAGGACGCGACCCCGGACGGCGACATCATCGATGGCAGCCATGACTACGGTGGAGGAGGAGCCAGAGGATCATGAGTGGGATTTGCTAGTCTCACTGTGTAGTCGTGGCGATGAACCGCCCTCGGACACCGCTCGTGGAGCATACATGGCGCTGCCGTGTGGGGTGGGTACCCATGGACAAGTTGCCAGCCATGAGGTATTTTGGTGTGTGAAAGAACTGGCAAGGGCGGTGATACTCGATATTGGGTGCCTCAAATCGGTCGCAGGTACTACCTGGGTGAATCAGCTACTCAAACATTGGCAACGGTGGGATCGATGGTTCGTCGTGGAGAAGGAGAGGGAGGTGTTCCGGTTTGGGGACGGCAACACCCTGACCAGTGAGTACGGGGTTCAGCTGGAGGCGACCTTTGCCGGCAAACCGGTCATCCTCGGGTTCTCGGTGGTGAAAGGGGACTGCCCCCCGCTGTTGTCACGACATGCACTCACGCAGTTGGGGGTGAGTTTCGATTGCGAGCACCACGTCATGTCCTCCAAGAAGTTGAAGGTGAAGTCATATGGGCTCCGACAGACCACTAGTGGACACTATCTGATGGACGTCGCTGAATTTGGGACCGGGGCCGACCCGATCATCCCGGTCGATTTTCGGTTGGAGGCAGGCCTCGAGGCCTGTGTGTGGAGCCAGATCAATGAAGCGATGGTCGAAGAGACTTTGGGCTCAGGAGGGACTGACACCCCGCGGGACTTTTGTGCATCGCATGTCGGCGCGGGCGAACTTCTGTCGAGTATGCGGCGATCCCGGTCACCGCAGCCGCCAGTGCCCCAACATCCAGTCCGAGGAGGAGGACCTCGCGCACTTGCAGAGCGTGCTGGCGATGGAGACGACCAGCCACCACAGCTGGGAGGAACCGGCCCCAAGCAATGCATCGATGAAGAGCTTCCTACCAGTGGAGCGATCCTCCCCCCAAGAAAAGCCCCAAGGCAAAAGCGAAGACCGACGCAGCAGGAGCCGGGGGGGAAGCAGGCCAGAACAGTACCGCCTGGACCAGGGCGAGGAGGAGATCACCATCCAGGACCTCACGCCCCAGGAGATAGCTCGGATTGCCAAGTCACGAGCGAAAGCGCAGCACGCGCGCGCGAAAAGGGAGGAGACGAAGGCGCTCACAGGGGCGCGGGCGGACTATCCCACCCTCTCCCACAGCTACAGCGAGGAGATCGCCTTCAACATGATTTGGTGCCTGCGCAGCAAGATGATGAGCTATCTGTGGAAGAAGTTGCTGTGGCAGCTGCGCGTGAAGGACGCGGTGGAGAGGACTATGCCGGGGGCGAGGTGGAAGAGGAATCATCGATGGCTAGCCATGTTGATGGGGAAGGAAGTGGCATTTTGGTGGGGGCACTTCGGGAGCCTCCGGCAACGGATGCACGCGCCGGTAGCGCTTCCTCTGATGTGAGGACTGCCACGGAGCTCGAGGGCACGGAGAAGGCCAGCGGTGGGCAAGGGGGATCAGGCTTCCACTATATCGACCTCGATGAGGACGTGTCGGACGAGGGAGATGGTGGCAGCCAGCGGCCGGACACAACTGAGGACTATAACCTTGCCGAAGGGGACACCGAGTATGAGGCCTACTTCATCGAGGAGCTCTTCGTGGATGAGGACGAGCTGACGGGGATGTATGAGGAGCAGCGGGCGGTCTTCTACCAGGAGAGGAGGGCCGCGGGGAAGTGGGTAGACACTCGCCCTGCGAGGGGACTCACCCAGCAGCTCAAGAATGGTGTCCAGAAGGGGAAGAAGATGATGGAGACGTTGAAGGAGGGCGCCAAGGTGAAGGACAAGTTCATGGTCCTGGAGATCTTTTCCGGGAGCTCTATGTTGACCCAGACCGGCATGGAGATGACCGGTTGGGGCGCGTATCAACCCATTGATGTGCTCCTGGGCGAGGAGGGGGATATGACGAAGAAGGCCAATCGAGACAGGGTCAAAGACACTGTCAGCACGTTGAAGCCCGACTTGGTCGTCATCACGCCCCCTTGCGGCCCTTGGTGTGCGTGGCAACGACTATGCAGGGATTTGGACAGCTTGGACGAGATCCGGAAGCGCCATCTGCCATTTTGGAGGTTGGCACGAGAAATATGGGACGTCCAGCAACGAGAAGGCCGACTGTGTCTGACGGAACAGCCGCTTGGTTCGGAGGCCTTGGAGACCAAGTACATGATGGAGAGACATCCCATGTATCGCGTCGAAGTGGATCAGTGCATGTTCGGACTCCGGGATCCTGTCTCGCAGTTGCTCTATCGCAAGGCCACCGCCCTGGA